CATCGGAGTTATTCAAAAAACTGCGTTTTACAGCAAGTGCAGCCTTTACCAATAAGTTCTGCGTGCTAGGATCTCTGTGTGTCCGTCCACGTTTGGCTGGTGCAGTCCACTGGGAATTACAGCTGCACCGATGTATTTGGTGAAGTGTAGCCGTTACATACTTACAAGTAAATATACCACCCCATAAAAGTGAAAGTGTAAATATCAATAAAACTTTTTTCTTGTGCAGGTCAGGATCACTTTGTGTGTCCATCCACCAAATTCAATTTAAGATATTGAACATGTAATTTTTAAATGCAACAAATATATAATTATTTTTTAAAAAGATTAATTTATATACATTGTATCAATTGCATCTTTTCTAGTTGTATATTTCTTCATATTGCACACCGCCTTCAAAAGAGTCACAACTCAAATCATACGTTTGTCCGAAAATGCGAAAAACTATTTCTTAGCACATGCTAATCATATGGGCTAGGTCGACTTTACCTTAGGATTTTTTTTACAAATCATAACAAAAATTTGATCCAGCTTTTGCTGAAAGGTAAATAAAAGCTCTGTGTACATTTTTAGCGCATAATCTCAAAAATTCCAAATTTGGAGTTGTGACTCTTTTGAAAACGGTGTCTAATATAGTCCCTTTGAATGAAGGATTTGTTTGAATTCCATTAATTTTATTTAATATATACTGGAGTTTTAATGAAACCATGGTTTGTTTTGAATATTTGGTTTGTTTTAAATATTTAGGAATATTTGTCGATAAGATTTTACTTTAGTCAGAATTTCATGCGAATAAAATTCTCTCATTCTTCATTTATTTCATTTTTAATATCCATATAGCATGTTTAATACACCATAAAAAAGTTAATTCATTGTCTATTGTGTAGATCAATGGAATCTGCTTTGATATTTTAACTCAATATAATATATAAAAAACGCATTTTAGTACTACCAGACTACTTTTCTTACTACATTTTCACAAAAGGGGATAAAATGGTTACCCGCTTTCTCTTCCTTCTCAAATGCAACCTTGCAAGGCAGTCGATTGACACAAATGTTATCCAACCTTCTTTTATTGAATCTGGTACACTGGCTTTGGAACATAATCCCATCGATTAGGGGGTAGAACAAGTATTACTTAGCTTAAAGGTAGAACTCTATAATTTTCAAATATACCACTCTTATTGTGGAGACCTCCATAGCTTTTATGAAATATGTACACAAAATTATATATCGACGCTCGAACAAATGCACGAAATTTGTATGGATTTGTTGAGCCGCTTATTCACATTTGAAAGAGGATAATGCATTACTTAATGCAAATGAAGACGGTTTATGCAAATAAGCGAGCTCGTTTGTCAACAGTATAAAATGTATGTACATATATACACATATGCTTACTGCCGTCCCTAAATTGGAGCGCTATGCGTTGCGTTATCCATTGTCGACGAGTGTCAGCGCGCGCTATCCCCAAATCAACGCGTCGTAATTTTTGACGTTTTCTCAGATCCTCTCGTTTTTATTCTCGTTTCCTCTTTCACTTTTTTGTCCTTTCTCTTTCTTTCCGTCTTCCGCATCCAACTTCAACACGTAACGCCCTGTCAAAAATGAAAATTCCATTTGCTCGGCGTTAGCGCCGCGTTATTGTGGGATGCTTCATACAAATTGTATGGGCATGAGGATTTTTGACAGTTGTTTGGCGCTTGACGCGCCAATTTAGGGATGGCAGTTACATACATATACATATATCAAAATATTCAGAACGACGAGATGAATTGGTTCAGCTGTGTCTGTTTGTAAACACGCTAACTCGAACAAAATTTAGATATTTTAACGAAAGTCGGTACCGAAGTTGCCTTTGGTATAATTTAGGTTAGTATTAAATTTTGGCGAAATCTGTCAGTAACCAGCCCACTTCCCATGTAGTAATTAACAATATAAAATTAGTTTTTTATGAAATTTGCTGTTTAGATTTGCAATTCAAATATATCAACAAACATTTGTGGGTATTTTTGCACCGGTCATTGCCTATGGAATAATGACAACAAAATTCTACAATATTTCATGTATTAACTTTCAAATAAGCACATTGTCAATGGCTGGTTTAGGCTTTCTGCACATTGGTCGTCCAATCATAGTTGCTTCATCGTCGCAATCATGGTGCAACGATTACATGACGACTACACCTTCGCACACTCGGTCGTGATATTTCAATTCATTTCGCGTCTAAAAATTTACTTGGAGCAGGTATTTTCTGTTTTTCTGGTTGATATTTTCGCGAAATATTTACAAAAACCTGCAATTTTTAAAATATGGACTGTTCTGCAACAATTCCAGACATAATTTTTCAGTAATATCTCTTCTCTTCTTTTCCTAAAATTTGTTTTGTGCACGCACGCAGAGACTTTACAATTTCGTTATATTTTATAGTTAAAACTCTCAAATTTATTGAATTTTATTGCAATTATCCACTTCTTAATAATTTCCACAGATTTTGTGCAAAAAACATTGGCCCGTAGTCATATTCAAAATAAAGTCGACTTTAAAGTTAGTTGCAGCTTTTTTGACAGATATCCCATTGAAAATTATGTCAAAAAGCTGCAACTAACTTTAAAGTCGACTTTATTTTGACTATGACTACGGGCCACTCATTTTAATGCAAATATTAACTTTTTCACTAATTGAATGGTCGCCTCAAATAACGTTGTAATCGACAAAATTATAATTTTACAAAATAAAAAAAAAAACTTGTTTACTGACGCGCAAACGGGGATTTAATTTGGTTTTCTACTTTTTCGGTATAGCACTCTTCAAGAATCTTGCCTTTAAAAAAATAAAATATACACATTAATATCTTTAAAATCAAGGAAACTAGCTTTGAACAAATTGTCGCTTCCAACGTTATTTGCGGCGACCATTCAATTGTTTCCCATAAAATATAAACAAACAATGCGTGCACAACGATTAGTAAACGACAGTGCCGTACTTATCCGTTTCTGCATCTTCAATGATCTGCCGATAACTAGCCTACAACGACAAGTGTGCAGATCTCCTTTAAAAAGCATGCGCTCGGCTCAAAATTTTAGGGCGAGACGATAACGCAACTATGATTGGACGACTAGTGTGCAGATAGCCTTACTGTATACTGTGCTGTGTACTTCATTCATTTTACCCCCATGAACGAAAGACACATGATCACGTAAGAACAAGAGAGTGAAAAAAGACGATTTTTTTTAGCGGGTTCTACGCCATCTTGTTTCACTGGAAAACGAGCAAAAAGTAAACAAAGCAAAGAAAACCACGAAAACCATAATTAGCCAAAATTATTGTCAGCCACTTTAAAAGCACAATTTAGGTAAAATGATGCAACAAAATGCTTTAAAATGTGTTGTCATGTTGAATTAACTCTTCTTTACTTGAATAAAAGTGTAAAATAGTGGTGCTTGTGATGTAAACAAACGCTCAGCTGACGAACCCGCTTTCGCAAACTTTTTTCTCAAAACCAGTTACAAATACAAAGTCGCGTTCTTACGTGATCTTGTATTTTTGGTTCATGATTTTACCCCGGGCCACAATTACAAACCTTAGGCTATCTGCACACTTGTCGTCCAATCATAATTGCGTTATCGTCTCGCCTTGAAAATTTGAGCCGAGCACATGCATTTCAAAGGAGATCTGCACACTTGTCGTTATCGGCTAGTTATCGGCAAATCGTAGAAAATGCAGAAACGGATATAAACGGCACTGTCGTTTGCTATCGTTGAGCACGGATTGTTTGTTTACATTTTATGGGGAAAACTTAGTGAAAAAGTTAATATTTGCATTAAAATTGCATAAAAATTAGTATTTTTTGCATAAAATCTGTGTATATTATTAAAAAGTGGATAATTGCATTAAAATTCAATAAATGTGAGCGTTTTACCTATAAAATATGACGAAATTGTAAAAAGTCTCTGTGTGCATGAACAAAACACATTTCAGGAAAAGAAAAGAAGAGAGATTAATGAAAAATGATGTCTAGAATTGTTGCAGCACAGTCTATATTTTAAAAATTTCAGGTTTTTGTAAATATTTCGCGAAAATATCAACCAGAAAAGCAGAAAAAACCTGCTCCAAGTGAATTTTTAGACGCCAAATGAATAGAAATATCACAACCGAGTGTGCGAAAGTGTAGTCGTCATGAAATCGTTGCATCATGATTGTGACGATGAAGCAACTATGATTGGACGACCAATGTGCAGAAAGCCTTATTTTTACCATACGGCGTACAGTGGCGATTAGTAAATAGAATATGTGAATATTTAAATATTTAAAGAGTTCTAATTTTTTTACAACTAGATGTCTAAATTTTTTTCTTGCCAAAAGCCGGGACATTTTGCGTCTCGGCAGGTAGTGTACCGGGATCGCATGATCCAACTACACAAGATCTGACAAGATGAAGCATAAGAAAAAAGTAATTTCCTGGCTGACGTTTGTAATTTCGGCGTAATGTTATTTTCTTTGAAAAGTAAACAAAGAATATGAACACGAAGCATAAAGAAAAAAAGGCAAACAATTTTGTAGCACATGTTAGTGCGAACCAATTTATTATTTTGTACGTGTTTTTGCATCCAATCACCGCGCACTTCATTTTAATTACATTTGCACAAAAAATTTATTGAAAATCGCTTTAAAATCACTGAAATAAACCACCGACATAATACACACAAAGAAAGAAGCAAAACAGAAATAGCAAACTTCAAAATTGCGAACGTCACAATTTTTTTCTCAATTGCTATTACAAATGGCTGCTTCTCAACCGGTCAGATCTGTTCTAATTGGTTCATGCCGGGATCGGGACATAGCTCTTATAGCCGGGACAGTCCTACCGAAAATGGGACGTATGGCAACCGTGTACATGAGTCGATTGCAGTCAAACTGAGGTGACTGAAGTCGATTCCAAAAAGTCGAGTTTTTTTAGCGATAAGTCGATTTTTGACTATAGTCAGAGTCGACTTTTCCATTCCTAGTGTGTCCCTTATAATAACAATTTTTTCACGCAGTTTATTTTTATCGGTCCTGTAAATTTTATTCCAGTTTTAGGCTATCCTGCGGGGAAATTGAAAATAGTTAAAACAAGGTGGCATAATGTCTTTATCAAGTATTTTACCTTCGCCCTCAAACCCAGTTTGGGACAGGGAAGATGAACGCCGCGTTGCACAAAAATCGAGGATTATTGGTGCACCCATGGGTGCTTTAGTGTCTGCGAAGATTGCTGCACCTCCGTATGGCCAACGCAAGGATTGGATACCACGCACCGAAGCAGATTTCGGAGATGGGGGTGCCTTTCCTGAAATACACGTGGCTCAATATCCATTGTGTAAGGTGCACAACTTAACTATAAATCGTAATAGGTAAACACATTTTTTGCAGGTATGGGAAGTCCTTCTAATTTAAACAAAAAATCGAACGCTCTAGCAGTACGCCTAGATGAAAAGGGAAAAATCAAATATGATGCTATTGCCCGGCAAGGGCATGGAAAGGACAAAATTGTTTATTCGTCTATATCACAGTTACTCCCAGCGGAAGTTCTCGCTGAAGATGCAGAAGAACTGCGGCGACCCGACGCTGAAACCGTTGCAGATACAACAGAGGAAACTCAACGAGCTTTGGAAAAGTTAACAAATGCGAAGATAGCTGCTGCTATGCCAGTGCGGCATGCTGAGAAAACAGCTCCAGCACAGTATATACGTTACACGCCATCACAACAAGGTGATGCCTTCAATTCTGGAGCAAAGCAAAGAGTTATACGTATGGTTGAGGCACAACAAGATCCAATGGAACCACCAAAGTTTCGGATAAATAAAAAAATACCCCGTGGTCCACCATCACCTCCCGCACCGGTACTGCACTCGCCTTCGCGCAAAGTTACTGTTAAAGAGCAAAAGGAATGGAAAATACCACCTTGCATTTCGAATTGGAAGAATGCCAAGGGTTATACGATTCCGCTGGATAAACGTTTGGCTGCTGATGGCCGAGGATTGCAACAAGTTCATATTAGTGAAAAATTCGCAAAAATGGCTGAGGCTTTATACATAGCTGATCGTAAAGCCCGAGAAGCGGTAGAGGCGCGTGCAACGCTCGAAAAGAAGCTGGCGCAAAAAGAAAAAGAAAAGAAGGAAGATATGCTAAGGATGATGGCGCAGCGTGCTCGAGAGGAGCGCGCTGGTCTGCGTCAACCGGATGACCCAGCTGCTTTGAATCCAGAAACACGCGAGCGTAATGAACTGAGGGCCGAACGTCATCGTGAACGTCAACGTGATCGAAATTTGGCACGTGCAGCACCGGAAAAGCGATCGAAATTGCAACGTGAACGAGAACGTGATATTTCGGAGCAAATAGCGTTGGGTATGCCAGCGAAGACCTCTGGCAATGGTGAAACAATGTTTGACCAGCGCCTTTTCAATACAACAAAGGGTATGGATTCGGGCTACGGTGACGACGAAGTATATAATGTATACGACAAACCGTGGCGTGATTCCAATTCCTTGGCCTCGCATCTGTACAGACCGAGTAAGCAGTTAGATAATGATGCCTATGGAGCGGACTTGGACCGCATTGTGAATACACAACGCTTCGTGCCAGATAAGGAGTTTTCCGGAACTTCGCGCGGTGCTGGTAGTGCCGCTCAACGATCTGGTCCGGTTCAATTCGAGAAAGAAGAGGATCCATTCGGTTTGGATCAGTTCTTGAATATGGCTAAAAAGGCACCAAAGCGATCAGAGGATAAGAGTGATCGTAGTAATTCCGAGAAGAAGCGCAGGAAAGACTAGGGAAACAAATTGTAACCACTACTAATATAAGTTGAAGAATGTGGAGATTTATATACATATATGTTATGTATATATATGTATATCGTTTACCATCAATACAAAAGGGCCAAGTTGACAATTTTGAAACTTTTCAGGAGAAGAATACAACTTTTTAAATTCACGTAGGAAATACATTGGTATGGATGTTTGGCCTTTGCTTTGATTGGTATATAAGTTCTAGTAAATAGAAAAGTTACGGTTAAAATTCCTTCATGTATGACAACAATGAAGAATGTTAAATAAAGCAGTGAAATCCCCAAATTATCTTAACTGACGAATATTTCTGTCAAATTACAAGTATTCAATTGCAGTACTCTTGGACAGTTCCAAAGTTTAGCTCAAGAATTTCTGATTAAGAACATTACCTCTCCCGTTCAGCACATTTCCCCACAGTCAGAGCTGGGTCGTAATGACTCCTTTAGGAATTAAATTACTCCCAATTACAGATTACAAGGAATTGTAATTAGGAATCAATTCCTTCAGTCCACAGCAAAGGAATCGATTACTTTTTCAATTCCTTGAAGTAATTTCAAATGTAATTGGGTTTTTCTTTAATTCCATTACAAGGAATTTCATATTGTAATTGGAATAAATTACGTGCTAGTAATGTAATTTTTTTTTCCAATTCCTTTGAAAGGAATTGAAAATGTAATTGATTTTTTTTCAATTCCTTTACCTGGAATTGCAAGAGTACTTTAGTTTTTCCAATTACTCAAAGGAATTGTAAAAGTAATCGAGAAACTGAAAGTTCATTCACGAATATACAATGTGGAATTTTTGTTGTGGTCAAAGATTAAAATCGAAAGCACACATTGGACATCTTCTATGTATGTCTATATATATATAAAAATGTTGTGTTCGTATGTCACGGTCATCAAAACCCGAGAACGGCTGAACCGATTTGAATAATATTTTTTTTATTATTCGGTATAATACCAGACCCATGATATCGCAAAAATTTGGTGGGTTGCCACCTATTTTAAAATTTAATTAATTTAAAATCAATGAATTATTACAATATGGGTATTAAGTTAAAGAGGTTTAAGAAAGATAACTGCTGGAAGTATTTTTGACGAGGGTGGCCTCCTATTTGAAAATTTAAACTCAGTCAAATTGTTAAAAAAAATTAAATATTGCCATGTGGGTGTCAAACTAAAGAGTTTTAAGAAGGCTTACTGCCGAAAATATGTTTGAGGAGGGTTGCCATCTGTTTGAAAATTTAAATAAATTACATTGATAAAATAAATAAAATTTTACAATTTGGGTATCAAATTAAAAAGGTTTGAGAAAGATAACTGTTGGAAATATTTTTGAGGGGGCTGCCACCTATTTGGAAATTGTAACTCAGTTAAATTGATAAAGTAAATGCAATGTTGGCATGTGGGTGTCAAACTAAAGAGTTTTAAAAAGGCTTACAGTCTACCATGAACACTTCCAGAAATATGCAATATGAAAGTTCGGTTTATATGGGTTTATTGGTCTTATATATGTATATAGATATCACCATACCCAGTTCTAGTCCTCTACCACAAATATATGCAGTTTGAAAAATTCGGTTTGTATGGGAGGTGCCACGCCCTCTTTCTATATCGAAACTTTTTTTAGCTATAACCATCCTTGGAAAGTCTGCAGTAGATTCCGAAATTTCAAAAAAATCGGTACGGCCTTTCTCGAGCTTTGCGAACAGAAAAAAACGCCTTTCAAAATATATATTAGTATAGACTAGCCAAACTCTGCTTGTTTTGCGGGTTAAAACACTACTACCGATGAAAATCGATGGATAAATAAACAAGTTTGCAAGGGTTAAGTGAAAGTGCAATAATTTTTTGTATGAAATACTAGCAGGAAATTTAACAAAGCTATTGCAATTCAACAGTAAAAAATTTTTTTTTATAAATTTTTCGATTACGTTTTAAATTACTTTGAGGAATGGAATTGGAAAAAAAATCAATTACATTTTCAATTCCTTTCAAAGGAATTGGAAAAAAAATTACATTTTCAATTCCTTTCAAAGGAATTGAAATAAAAGAAATTACATTACTAGCACGTAATTTATTCCAATTACAATATGAAATTCCTTGTAATGGGATTAAAGAAAAAAACAATTCCATTTGAAATTACTTCAAGGAATTGAAAAAGTAATCGATTCCTTTGCAGTGAACTAAAGGCTCTGCCCACAGTATATACCAGACAACAGCATGAGTTTACTCACTTCCATCTAAACAGTATGAACTCATTGCTGTGAACTCTATAAAGTTAGTGAGAAACACCGTACAAACAGTGAGATTCATACAGGCTAACCTAATATTCACGCACGCCGCCAATTTACTGTCAAAAATTTCTCATGCGCATACAACTTGTATGAGACCAGCCGAAATTGAACGGCGTGCGTACGAAGCTAACTCAATTTCCAATTTTTGTTCTGCGTGACATTTTGATTTGACATTTCACTCAATGAAATCAAATACAAACGCACGCAAGCCAATTTAGGGTGACGCAAGAAAAAAATTCTACGGCGTGCGTACCAAAACGCAAGCCGCGAATATTCGGTTAGCCTGATAGTTAGTTTTGAAATCAATGTTTAGCTGCAGTGTACTCATTTGATTTCAAATATGGCATTTATATACTCTTTCCAAATCAAGTCAAGCGAGTGAAAAAAGCTGTTATGAAAAGCAAGTCGAGCAATCGAATGACACTCATTGACTTCAAACAATTAGTAGAGAATACGACAATTTTGAAAAAATGTATATTGATGAAGTATTTTTTTAAATATATTCGTTTTACTAAATTATTTAGTTATGCACCTGACGTACATTTATATAACTAGTCTACAAAAGAAATGCAATGTTACCTCATAAGACATCGGCTTTATAAGGGACTTGAAAAATAAGTTGCTTTATTATTTAAAAACAGTTGCTGTTGAAAACTAACAGATTTGCACAAAATTGTGCTTTTTTTATACCCGCCAGCAAAAGAGCTCAATAACTTTACCGAATCTGAGCAAAGGTACAGAAAAGAGAAATGTTTACAAATTATGAGAACGTTAACTGAGAATTCTGACAGTACAACGGAACCACAAATTGCGGATACACCTTTGTTACCTTCAGACAACTTTGAGATGTTTTCAGGTCTTCTTAAACAACCTACCTTTGTGAGCAGAACTGATAAAGCTACTGCAGAGCTGCGGCGATATGAAAATATTGAGGTATATTTTCATACGGACTTCGATATAATTAATTGGTGGGAGGTACACAAATGCGAAATGCCGCTGCTGCATAAACTCAGTCCTTCAAATACAACAACAACAACAAATGTTTTTCTTTGATACTTTCATTACAGCAGTTATGTCATGCACTTGTTTTTCAAATCAAGCACTTGGTATTTGAATCGAGCACTTGATAATGTGAATTACTCACTCAATCGACAAGGTTTTTTCAATGCTATCGCACGTTATGTTTGGAAATAAATGAGTGCGAGTGTGTGCAGATGTGAAAAGAAAGCGAGTGACTTAAAATGTAATTTGAGTGTATCCATGCAGCTCTCTGGTATATACAGCACTAAACCTTTTTGAGTACTCGTCTGATTCAGAGTTGTATACAAAATTACTGTGATATGAAAGGGAGCAACAACCGTGTTATGGCAGGGTGGCACAGATTATTTCGTAGGAAAACACTTCTTAAAATGTTAATAGATAATTGCTATTTATTTTCTAATATTCAGATATGCAGCTTGTTATTAGAGGCAGTGGCATGTGAGGCTCACTAAAATCTACTCATCATGTTGGAGCAGCTCCGGGTAATGGACCATTGAATGTGCTGGCTGAACTTATTACCACCATAACCAAAGGAATCTCCAACAAATACATGGCCTGAATTTATTCCATAGCAATTCATAGCAATTACTATTGTATGTGTGTATGATTCATATTATATTTGTGACGTTCAAAGTGTAGAATACATATTAAGTATTTTTGAGGAGCTTCGGGTGATGGGCGCTCAAACTTGGGTGTGCTTAATGAACTGTGGATGCGCTGGCAGGCATTAGAGTCTCTATGACTATACAAAGCTTGTTTTTTTTAATAAATACTTAAATATTTTTATTCGGAAATTTAGAATTTTACTTGATAAATTTACAAAAAAAAGAAATACATTTTTCACTAAAATATAATCTTATAATGGATATTTTTTTTAATTTTAAGTATATATTTAGTCTAGATTCAGACTTTTGTCGCGGCAACTCGTTATTTGAGGGAGAGGGGGAGACGAGGAAGGGGGTAGGGCACTCGTTCGTTTGAGTAATTCTAGTTGGCCGTTCAGAGCTGACAACAACAATTGTGTACAATAAAAGTTCTCTGTGTGAACGCGAAGGGCAACACCAAAAGAGAAATTGCCGAAAATGAGCAACAAAAGTTGCTCTGTGTGAACCTAGTCTTAAGAAAACTCCATTCAGTGCTATAATTAAGAATTGAGTTTTCCAGTTTATAGAAACGACATGGATAATAGCGCGATTTTTATTGCTCTAGCTCAATAACGCCGACACTACCTGTGGTGTCAGCGCATTAACCAGTGTACTGATTTGAACACGGCGCCATCTGAGTGTCACCACAGTACCCATCGTCATACAGTGTCATACAAAACACAGTGGTGTCATGTATACTTAGCCTCATTGCGTAAGTCGGAAATTAGGCTAATGAATGATAATGGATGAACTTTCACTTAATTATCTATTGTATGGGAAATGAATGCAAATGGTTATAATGCACGTAAACGTATCGTAAAACGGAACAATGTAAAATCAATAGATCCTTACGAATTCGCCGCGATTTGTTACGATTCGCCCCGTCCATTATAATCAAGGCATAAATTGTAAGACTCGACAACATTGGCATTGTCTACTGTCGTGCTGAAATAAGTAAACGACGAAAATCGTTGAAAACTATGCAGTGCTGCCATGATTTTCCGTTTTAGTACACTAGTCGAGTGGAAATTTCAGAAAATGGCGTGAAATTTTCGATACGATTCGACTCTCGAAAAACGACTTGTATTCGACACGACTCTCGCAATGAGGGCGATAATTTTGTATATTTTATCGACGAAAAGAACTTTTTGTAACCATGAGGTGGAATTCCCCTCAGTCAGTGTTGCCATGCGCGAAAACGAAAACGCTGGACACAACCCAAAAATATTCCTCGGGGACCACTTGGTAAAAAACTGCGAAAAGTTTTATTACTGTATATACTTAAAGGATTCCCTTAAACTTGTAAAGTCTTAAACC